CCGGCTGCGGTAACGCTTACTCGCATCGAAGCTGCTCTCCTCCCAGAGGATCAGGAGACCATCGTGCCTTTCGACCGCAGCTCAGTCATCGGTGAGCTTGATATGACAGCTCGCGGCTCGGCCAAGAAGGTCTTCGTTCAGGCTTGGAGGTCTTTCGACCGCGCTGCCCGCCTCAGGCTCATCAAGCTGTACGCCAAGCTCGTGTTTGTGCAGGTTACAATCGCTGGTGTGGGTATGTTCGCCATGGCTACTGAGGTGGCGATGATTGGCGGCGACAGGCTGGCGTTGTTTGTCAAGAGTGGAGGAGCGCAGTTGCAGTTGGCTATTGCTGAGGCGCATGGACACGGCGGAAACTAGGGCACGCAAAGACTGTCCAAGCAGGCGCAGTTTGAGATGGTCTCTGCTGGGGTGTTTGCGGCGTCGCATGTATGACTACAAAGGGCGTTCACGGGGAAAGGTCGGTGGTCTCTACCATAGCTTTGACAGCATAATCTTTCCTACGCACACTGCACTATGTATCACTGCTGGGTAGGCTTTCATTGCTGACCGCTCCGACGATTCATCGTGCATCATCATCCGAAGAATGAGTGCGCGTGTATTGTAGGAACTTTGCTTCCCTGAGATCGTCTCATGGCTGTTCTTCCCTGCTGGCGTGCAGCTCGGAACCACGATCTCGACTCAATCTTCCAGAGGATTTGTGATTCGATCTCGTCCGCTCAGCCTTTCATGCGCTCAACAATGACATGACCTGCTCACTTCTCTTAACATCAACACCGCACTCCACCATGCCAGTCATGACAAGCTCCAGCACATGAGTCCTTAAACCCCCTGACCGCCGAGCCAGCTTCGAACAGCATCGAAGGACACCTCGCTTCTCGAATATGACGCCCCAGACACCTTTCCTGCGTGGCCAGGCTACTTTCATGGCTTCCGCTTCAGCTTCATTGTATTGAGGCCTGTACCTTTGGTGTGTGACCAGGCGTCCATTTGGCAGAACCTCTTCGCCTTCCATCGGCCAACTCATATTGTGGTAGCGACATGCTGCTGGACGCTCCATGCGCCAGCCGCCATGAGGATGAATGAGTGTGTAAGTCCAATCTTCGGCGTAGTCTGGGCCTTTGCTCCCGGGTGGACGTGCGGTGATGGTCAAGTTGGTGATTTTGTCGAATTCTTGCTCTGAGATCGAAAGGATGCGCGCCTCAGCTTCCGACTTGGGGATAATGTCATCCAGGATGAGAGTGAAGTGGGAAGTGCTGTAGTAGTTGCCATAGCGGGCACGATAGAGTGGCAAAGCCTCGACGTAGATCTGGCGGCAGGTGCGAAGTACTGCGTAGGCAGGAGGCGAGAGTGGTATAGTGGCAGTAGCGGGCAAGGGGGTGAAGAGCTGTCCGTAGATGAGGAGGCGAAGCTCCTCCGGTAGGGCGAGGAGAGTCGCTGGCGGCATTGGGTGAAAGTGTTCGGAATGTATCTGATGGATGATTGGAAAACGTAGCCCGGTTGTAGGGCTAGAGCAATCGGTCTGTAAAAGTTCGTTTTAGATGGTGATGTCGTTGTTGAAGACGATGACTAACTGGGTCATTGACATGAGGCAAGCAAAGTGAGTATACAAGTGTTGTGAGCTGTTGGACTTTATGGGCTTCTGGTCCATTGTGATCTACGGGAAAGAGCGATTGACAAGCGCATGAATTTCCCTTGCGGTAGGATAAACTCAACCTTTTATTGGAAATCGTAGTTCTTCCTACGCACATGACCGTCCGCAATACTCGATGTACTGTTTCCTCGCCACAGCAATCATAAGCGGCTTGGCCTTCTCCGCTCACATTGCACAAGAGCGTGGACCCACGCTTATCCCGAACCCTTGATACTGCCCGATATTCCACAAGCAGGATCGACTTCCCTGACCCATACTCTCACATCACACGCATGTCCTTCGGAATGTCCTTGGTGGACCGCAACGCGACTAGCTCGACCCTCGATTTGAAGCGGGATGAATCGACCATGCCCGTTCATCGAATCAAGAGGTGACACTGAATGAAAGCCAGGGCGGCCTGGCTGGACGCACATCAGTCCACCTCCCCGTCTTCACCAAGACCAAACCGTGCCTCCTCAAACCCTGCTGCCATTCCGACTCGTCTTCGGCGCAAGCTTCAATCAGCTCCTGCTTCCCGGCATAGTGCTTCCAAAAGTGATGCCAGATCCACTTGTTCCAAAGTATGGCTTTGAGGGGTAGCATTCCAGGTCTAAATCTGCGATATGTCGTGCAGCGTCCGGGATCATCTGGCAGCTTGGTACTATGTGAGTAGCTGTCGGGGCTTTCGACAGGACGCTCAATGCGCCAGCCGCGGAGAGGGTGCACGAGAGTGTAGTTCCAGTCTTTGGCATAGTCGGGAGCAATGCTCGATCGAGGGCGAACGGTGATAGACAACTTCGTGATTCCGTTGAAATTTTCCTCCGGGATCGCGAGAATGCGTGTTGCGAGTTCCACTTCCGACTCGGGTACAGCGTAGTCATGGAGCAAGGAGAAGTGAGAACGACTGTAGTAGATCTCGGCGGTTGCTTGATAGTACTACAGACTCTCGCAGTATAGCTGCTTCGAGACACATGGCAGAGCGTGTGAAAGTGGTGCGAGGGCGATGGGAGTAGAGGCAGGCGCAGGCGGGTAGACGTTGCGGTAAATTTGGTTGCGGAGTTCCTCAGGCAGGGTGAGGAGCGTTGCGGACGACATCTTTAACAGGACAGAGCTGCTGGTAACAGAGCCCAAATCAGCTTTGGGAGATGTGGTCGTTGTTCTGTACAGATTTGTTGGTCGGCGACTTTCCGATTGAGTCCTTGGCATATGAAACCCTTGGCGGAAAGTACGACCGACAATTTTGACAACTTTGCGGCCAAGAAGTGAATTACTACGAATCTCACACCATGCGCTGCTCCTTCTGCTGCCTCACCCTCTCCGCAATAGCAGCTTTTGGATGTATCAGCTCCCTCAGTCCGAACCAAGGCGTATTGATCGGACTGGGCCCGGTGTACAAGAACACATCATACAGCAGTCCTCCAAACGCACATCCAAAGAAAGGCGCAACCATCGGGATCCAGAAGTAGTACCCTCCTGAACTCCACACCTCATGCCCATACCCGACGCAATAGCTCATCAGTCGTGGTCCGAAGTCACGGGCCAGATTGATTGCATATCCGGTGTCCCAGCCGAAGCAGGCGCCGAGACCGAAGATCAGGAAGAAGAGGGCCAGTGGGAACCAATTGCCCGATGCCGAAAAGCTCCCCTTATTCGTATCATCTTTAAGAGCAAAAATTACGAACATCAGGATCGTACTCGCAATGAATTCGCTGAAGAATTGGCTTGCTTTCGTCAGGTCTGCCTGAGGGTATGTGCAAAAGATGCCCGCTGTGGCAGTCTTGGACGGCGGGACTGTGCGGATGCCAGGCCCACCTTCGAACGTGTTGATGCCATTGATGTAATTTGCGTAGACCACGCCGCTGGCGCAGTAAGCGCCGAGAACTTGGGCGATGAAGTAGATTGGAAATCGCCGCCAGGGGAGCTTGCGGAGGAGACAGGATGTGAACGTTATTGCGGGACTAGCCATGGAATATCAGTATGAGCCAAATGGGTTCGAGCTGAAACAACTTACTTAAGATACGCCCCACTATCGCCCGCGACGTATATGCCCAGCATCACTCCCAATCCCCAGCCCCAGGAGATCGATTGATAGGCGCCGAAGCCATTACCTCCCGGTGCACTCGTCTGATCAGTACTGAGCAGAACTTGCGCTACGCTGCCGTCGCCGAATAAGATCATAATAAAGGTGCCAAAGAACTCGCCGAAGGGCTCCTTGAGAGTCATGCGGATCTTTGGCCACCATAAGTCACTGTGCTCTGCGAGATCGTGTTCCTCGTCTATCGGAGCACTCGGATGGAGACCGAGCAGGGCACGAGAGTGTGAGAGTCCAGTGGAGGTGGCTTGTAGCCCGCTTTCGGTCGGCGCGAGACGATCATGTTGGGTCGTGATTGTAGTCGGCGAGGTCAGGATGGCTTGTGGCGGCGAAGACTCCTCTGCCTTGAGGTCGTTGTCGTGAGACTCCTTGGATGACCAGTCCGGAGAGTGACGAGGTAAGACAGACGAAGCCATTGTGAGATCTGTTGTTAGACACTGAGACACGCTCACTGGTTTGCAATTCATGAGAGGTCAAAAGAAAGAGCTGATACTACCTTTCTAACGGTCGACGCTACTCATATTTGCCGCGTGCCAGACATGCGGAGGGGAAGCTTACTGGCATTGCGAATCCCCATGCTCCACATGACGCAGGCGTAAGCGAAGACAGCTCCGAGCAATGCGATGATCACCGAGCCCAGCAGAACCGTCATCACGACGCGAGAGAAAATCGGTGATGTGCAGTAGCCGCACTGTCGCCGGGCGGGCCGATGTGTGAGGTGAAAAGCGGGGTGGAGTAGAGGTTTGCAGATCATATCGAAGGAGCATCAATATTGTGTCAACGCTCAATATCGACAGACGGCGGTCATTCGTTAGCGATGGCGTCGATCATGTTGTCAACATTATAGTGCACGTTTCACTTAGGGCGAATAGGTACATGTAGGAAGATGGACTGACTTCGGGAGTAAGTTGCATTCTGGTCACGTGGTAACCAAGATGACGACACGGCCCTCCGCTCTTGTGCTACATTCGTACTGAACCATCGACCGCCCCTCAAGTTCTTTTCGGAGCCGTCTTCTATCCAACTGGAGATATCAATGTTGCGGCGATCTTGATACATGCTTCTAGGCTAGAAGCCCTCCGGTGGGGACTGTCAGACTCACGGAAGTGCTTACGCAGGAGACCAGCCGAAGATATCAAGAGCCCTCGACTAGTTCGGCACTAGAGAGTCTCACAAATGCTGTATCAGCCAATGGTCTCGCTAGCGCCTGTGCGAACTCGGGCGGAGCCAAAGATATGTTAGCTTATAATTTATATTTCCTCGATTCCTTCCACACCGTCCGAATTGGTCTAGTGGCTAGGATTTCTCGCTCTCACGGTCTCACGACCAAGCGCCGAGGAGGCCGGGGTTCAATTCCCCGATTCGGAGACCCTTTCGTAGCCATTTGCTATTGTTTTTGTCGTTTTGATCAGATCTGGGGTTTGATGGGTTGTTCGCCATGCAAGGGCGTTGTCTTGTTGCAAAGGAGCACGTGATTTCCGTTTTGGGAAGTTATGGCTCTTTTGCTCTTGCAGAAGGCTACACCCACCGTGCCCACAGATGTGGACTACTGAGGATTGAGCAAGCCAGGCAGCCGTCGACAAGTAGCTCGCCACAACGTGTAGCTACCGATTAAAAGGCTCCGACTACTATACAAATATCGCTGCCTCTCCTCCAATATCCTTGACATTCGACAACCACGATGGCTACACAGGTCTCTTCGCCGACTCTCCTCACACTCCCCAAAGAGCTCCGTCTCGAGATCTACACCATTCTCTACCCTCCCACCCCCTCGGAGTCTCCATTTCCACTGTCACCTCTTTCATACAATCTTCTGCGCACATCAAAGCAAATCTATCTCGAATGCCTATCTACATACATCGCTTGCTATAACGACTTCTACAGCGCCTCGAAGTTCACGCTCTCTGTCTATGGGTCCTCTGACACAGGTCCGGAAATTGAGCAACAGATCAAGTCGATCTCAGAGAAGGACTTCAACCGCATCACCAACCTCACAATAACCGTACGTCCTACGTTAGGTGATTCGTCAGAACCGAACAACGGCTCGCGAAATCCCGAGAACAACTGGATTTTCACGCTCGTTCACCCATACGGCGGCTGGCGGATCACACGGCCCCGTGGCCCACCCGGAAAGTTCGTCCCCGGTGTAGTATCATCTGAGGACGGCGGCCGGATCTTGACATGGAGACGATTCAGGCCGTGGATTTCGCGACTTTCACCTGGATCTAGTGAGACCTTGGTTGTACCTACGAAAGCATCATGGGACTACCACGCAGGGGAGAAGAAGCTGATCGCCGCGTGTAAAAGGTGTGGTAGGAGCAGAGGCGGAGGGTTGAGAGGGCATGTATTGGAGTTAGTGAAGACTGACATGGCGGAGTATTGAGTGATGTGTTGGGTCGTAGAGGAAAACTCGTGGCAGACTTCCGCAATTTGAGCAGCTGTATGGTACCTTCTGACCATGAAAGTCATTCTGCTAAAGTGACTGGATACGTGAAGCAACACGCCGACTCCTCGCTAAGCACAATCTCCACCTGCTAGTCTATGTCTATATTCTTTGCCTTCACCAGTGGGTTTGAGGAAATAATCTCTACTCCTCTGCCTTCTCATCATTCTTACCCTTGCCCTTACCCTTGAACGGTCCCTTCACCAATTCGACCACCTTTCCCAGCGCTCCGAACAGCGCACCGAACCCGAAGCTCCATCCCTTGACTCTCACAGACCAGATGAAGAAGTACACCAAGAACCAATTAGTAAACACAAACACTAAGAACACCCCAAAGTCTCTCCACTTGTCGCTCGCGTTGATGTTCAGTCCAGCCAGATACTGGTCTCCAACAGTATACGGACAGTACTGGCAGTCTGCCGATGCAGTCGGGTTCAACAGATACCCTCCGGCACCCTGCGCGAAGGCCCCTGCATACTCCATACACGTCTGGCCAGGCGGAGCGTCAAAGTGTGCTGTCTCGGAGACCGCGCACTCGACTGGAATGTCGTGCAGAGTTGCGGCGAGGACACCGCCAATCCACCATGTGGAAGGGTTGACCCAGTACATCCAGTAGCGCCAGAACACTGGCAGGGCGCTGTATTGGCGGACGACGCCGTTGAAGAGCGAGAACATGACGAAGAAGAAAGGGAGGACATTCGAGATGACTGTGAAGCTTGGGGCGAAGGCGCAGATCCATTGGCCCCAGGAGGCTTGGAATAGGAAGAAGAGCTGAGGTGTAAATCAGTATCACTGTCTTTAGGGCTCAAGAGGGCGGCACAGAAGCTAAAGACTTACCACAGTCATCAAGAACACATAGCCACTCGTCGCAGACTCCGTCGGTAAGCCGGTCGGGAAGTACCAGATCACCCAGTATAGGAAGCCACCGAGGATCGCCCAGGGGATCTCGCACACGACTTGAGCAGTGGTGAAAGCGAACCAGCCGTAGATTCGAGACGGGTACTCTCGAGCTTGCCAAAGTGCCATGTTGGTGAAGAACTTCGGGACGACAGCATTGACGATTGTGGGCGGTATCGTAATGATAAGGAAGCTGGTGAACATTCGGTTCTCACACGCGTGTTAGTCGTGTAGTGCAAGATATTTGAGGGACTGCTAAATTACCTGCATATCCTGGATCGTATTGCCCAATTGCCAGAAGGTGAAGCCATTGAAGATGCCGACGATGACGGAGACGAACAGCTTGCCGTAGATGTAGGAGGGGTCGCGCCAGTACTAGAAAGCGAACGTCAGCAAACAATGCACTGAGTATGTCACTCTTCTCAAATATTCCCGGAGGGCTCTTGTGCTATTCTTGGCATGACCGCAACATCGCAGCGACTCCAAGGGCGTCAGTGAGATAACGAGTAGCCCACAGAGACCTTTGTCTCTCAGTGACGCTCTTAGTAGAGCGCGCAGCCGTGGAGCCGTTGGCAGTTCCAACAGCAACCTACAAACTTTCGTGAGACAGGGAGGATCAGTGCTTACCTGCTTGAACGTCCTCTTCGTCAACTCCATAGTCTGCGCCACCGTCGACGCAGCAAACTCTCTCTCCTGCTCCTTCCTCACCTTCTCAGGCACGCTCTTACTCCTCGCCAACTTCAACCCCTCAATCTCCTCGATGACCTGCTTCGCATCCTCGCTATGCAACCACTCATCGTTCCAATTGATCCTCGTGCCGTCCGGCTTCTTCATCGGCTTGGCAGCAGTCTCGAGAATGAATTCAGCAACGTTCTTCTCCGGCGGGCAATGGATGCCACGGTCCGCGAAATATTTGATAACAGCGGAGCCGCCTTCACCGACAGGGCCGAAGTAGAAGGTGTTGCCGCCAGGGTTCAGGGCGAGGATCATGTCGAATTGCTGGATGAGGATTGAGGACGGTTGGTGGATGGTGCAGACGATTGCTTGGCCGGCGGCGGCGAGCTTCTTGAGGAAACGCACGATGGAGTAAGCGGATTGAGAGTCGAGACCTGATGTTGGCTCGTCGAGGAAGAGCAGGAGAGAAGGCTTCGCGGCCAGCTCAACGCCGATGGTGAGGCGTTTTCGCTGTTCGACTCCTAGACTCATGATTAAGGCATCTTGCATATCGTTCAGCTCCAGGAGGTCGATGATCTGGTCGACGTAGGCAATCTTCTCTGACCGAGGCGTGCTAGCAGGCTGGCGAAGGACGGCCGAGAACTCGAGAGCCTCGCGAATCGTGGCTGTGCCGTCGTGCAGATCACCCTGCAAGCAGAAGCCAGTGTTGCGTTGGAACTCGGGACCAAGACCACGGCCATCGACGAACATCTCGCCAGAAACGACGCCCATCGACTGGCGCTGTGCGAGTGTGTTGAGCAGTGTAGTCTTGCCAGCACCAGATGCACCGACGAGAGCGACCATAACACCAGGTTTGGCGTAACCGTTGACGTTGTTGAGCAGCTTCTTCTCACCACCAAGATAAGGCACAGTGTACTCCACGTTGCGCCAGGTGAAGATGCTCTCGCTCTTCGTGATCTGCGCCATCGCTTCTCCAGAGTCGCTCTCGGCCTCCTCTCGCTTAGAGCTCGAGCTGCTGTCACTGGCGGGAGCAGCTGTGCCCTTCTCTTCATCAGCGACCGCGGGGGAAGCCTCTGCAACGATCTTCTTGGCCTTGCGAGACTGCTTAAAGATCAGCGCGCCGCCTCCAGAGGATGTGAAGCTGAACAGCTCGTTGGCGAGCATCGTAATGAGGAGGTAGAGCACTGTAAATGCGATCACGACACCGAAATTGCGCCACAAATTGCTTCGCGAATAGTTGTATTGCGTGGCTAGGTATGCGTCACCTGTGACAGACTGTGCATTGATCTCAGCTCCCGCCAGAGCACAGCCTTGGTAGGCTGGATCGACTCCAGGGCCTTGCGGGACCAATTGGCTCGGCGCGCACTGCATTGTGCGTCCCGAAAACTCGTTCGTTAGCACCGCTTCGAACGAGTAACTAATTGGATTTATCCAATAGAGCCATCCGAACCATATGTATTTCGATAGTAGCTGCGTCTTTGGAATAACGTAGCCAGTATAGATAACCAACAAGTTAAGAGCGATACCAGAGAATCGCACAGCAGTGTCGATTTCCGGACTGACGGATGCAAACATGCGGTAGAGCGCTGTCAACATGATTGTTGTAATATAAACAAAGAGCATATAGATGAAAAACTTGCCGGCCGTAATGTCGAGATTCGTCATGAAATACATCAAGATCCCGAACAAGATCGTCTGGATCAGGATGACCGGAAAGTCTGTAATCAGTCTTGCCAGAGCGACAGCAGAAGGTCGGTAGAAGGCGTATTCGTTGTGTCTCGCTACGACTGCCCGTCCACTGACCGCCTTCATAAGTTCAGTCAGTTGCAGCCAGCCCAAGAAGAGGATGCTGAAGAAAATGGCGCCGCCACGGGTAAAAGCACCCTCTGTGTTGAGAGGCTCGCCGTAGAAGAGAGACCCTACGATCAAGCCGTTCGAGATGATGATGAAGATCTTTGTCCAGAGTGTTGTCGTGTCGCCGAATATGAGCCAGAACTCTCGCTTCGTGCATGCGAGTACTTGTCGAGGAAAGCTGATAGTGTAAGATGACTTCTCAGAGACTCGCTTCGACTTGCTTTCCTGCACCGACTGCTCGAACTCCTTGGCATCTGCGAAGTCACTTTCCTTGATGGCCTTCTCGTAGCTCTCCATATCCTGGAGCACCTTGGCGTAGTGTGGCGACGACCGGAACGCCTTCTCCAAAGCATCAGGACCCTTTGGTGTCGAGTCTTCTTTGCCAGATTGAAAGCGTCGCTCCACAGGATCAGTAATAGCTGTCAGGAAGTCTGCAGTTGTTTGGCGCTCGGGACACTCGAACCCAAGGTCAATGAAGTACTGCTTCGCTTCCTTGGCT